CCTGTGGTCTCCTCCAGTCTTCCCATTGCTCCAAGGCCACCTACTTGTTGTACAGAACTACATCTGGGAGCCAGATGTGTTTGGACGGGAGCCGAACTTTCTTCATGTTGTCAAACTCCTCAGGCTTCCAGGTGAGCCGATAGTCCTCCCACTCCTGGGAAAGGGAGAGAGGGAACCTTACAAAGCTGAGGCTCAAGGTCAAGGATGGGGGGTGGTGGTTCTGGCTTGAGGAGGCTTTGAACATCCATCCCCTCCCCACAGTGACTTCTCTGCCCCGCAGATGTGGCTGGCAAGATACTTTCTCATTTAATTTGCCCATCTAAACCAAGATAGTAGAATCTACATTTTACCAATAAGAAAATGAATCTCGTAGAGGTTAACATGATCGAGTCACAGCCGGTGAGTGGAAGCACCACGCTTCCGGGCCAGTTGTTCGGCTCTCCAGAGTCTGTACCTTTCTGCCTTTTTTGAGGAGATTAAAAGACGGGAAAGCACATGCAAAAAACCCAAGGAGGGAAGAGCAGAGCAGGGGTGTGGACTGGGGCAGGACGAGCACTAACCTGGGTCAGCCAGACATTTGTGGTCATGATCTGCTCCCGCTCATGCTACAGGGAAGAAGAGAAGCTGTTGAGAAGGCCGCCCAGGCTGCAGGCCCGCCCCAGCCACCCACGGTCCTTCCCATACCTCCCTGAGCCGGGGGGCTCCAGAGAGGTAATTCTGGCTTTTCTGACCTCAGCAGCTGGGCAGAGTTTGGGACCTGCACTCACCACACTAATGAGCTGGGCCAGGGACACCATGAGCTGCACGGTCACTAGCTCAGAGCCATTGGCAGCCGGGCGGATGAGCTTGTTGTACCGGGAGGGGTCCAGGAGGTGTTCCACCAGGCGCTCCTCTGTGTCTGTACCCCAGACTCCTGGGCAGGGGGGCGGAAGGCAGGATGAAGGAAGTAGGCAAGGAGGGCCCACCTAGCATCCCACTCTCCTTAGGCAAATGGGGCAACCAGGCCAAAACAGGAGCTTCCCACCACTCCATCCCTAAAGATACAGCAAAATGCTTCAGTTATCCCATGAGGGCCCCGCAGAGAGAAATTCTTCTCTGAAATCACCAACCAGGGAGACCAGACAGCCTCACACAGATGTTTTCAGACTAAAAGTCCACTCTATAAGGATTAATGGAGACCCACTCTTCCTGCAAGCTCTCAGCCTGTGGTTTCAAAAGACTTGAGATTTCTTTTCCGTTTTTTTTTTTTTTAAGATTTTGACAGAAACACAGCAAGAGAAGGAACACAAGCAGGGGGGATGGGAGAGGGAGAAGCAGGCTCCCCGCCAAGCAGGGAGCCTGACTCAGGGCTTGATCCCAGGACCCCGAGATCATGACCCAAGCTGAAGGCAGACACTTAAACAACTGAGCCACCCAGGTGCCCTAGACTTGAGAGTTCTTGCTTTCGTGGCTTCTCCTAAAAAGTCCCTGTAGTTCAAGGAGGGTTTGGGATGGTGGGGAAGGTGCCCCACCTCAGCTGGGTCCATCTCTGTACACAAGTAACATTATGCATTTCCACCTGTGATGTGGGCTGTGACCCCCACTCCACACCCACCTTCACAGGCACTGGGTTGGAGTGGATGGCTGGGCTGCCTGTGCCGTGGATCTGAACATGTATCCAGTCCCAAATTCCACACATAGGGGAGTCCACCTCCCGTGAGATGGCATGCAGGTGTGGGAACCTTGTTTAGCTGCACAATCCCTTTGTACCCGCCCCTGCACAGACTCTCTCTCCTACGGCTCTGCACAGATGTACCCCCAGCCCTCAGAGCTCCTTCCTGGTGGCCCTCAGCCTGGCCGAGCACCTTCCCTTCCAAGCCTTCCATCCCACCCTACAAGAGAGTTGAGAAGCCACTTTTCTCCCCTTCCTGTCTTGCCCCTGTGGAGTGGCCAGAATCGGGAGCCCAATGTAGGACACAGGAAATGATGCCAAGGGAGGGTGCCCATCCAGGTAGAGTTCTGGAGATAATGTTTCACGGGAAGTCAATCGCACCCGGTCGCAGAGTGAGCCCTCCTGCCACCCCAGAAAGCCTGGGGAGACCCCCTCTCCCTTCCCTCCCCATTCCCATGCCCTCCCCACCGCCATTGCCCGGATCTCGCTTGCTTCCTTGCATCGCCTACTCCTTCCGGGATGTCCTCATCCCTGCGCCGTCGCCCTGGCGTCCCCCTGCAGGCTCGTCCACCTCTGGGGGTCCCCCTTGCGGCCTGGAGCCCGGTCCTTACCTGCGCGCAGCCCGAGGAGGCCGAAGCCCAGCAGCAGCGCCGCGGGGCCGGAGCGCCGGGCCATGCCGCGGGCGGGTGCTGTCCGCGGTGCTGAAGCCGCGTCCGCGCCGCCGGAGGGTCCTGCGCTCCCGGGGCTGCGGCGAGGCGGGCGGCGGGCGGCGGGCGGCGGCGGGAGGGAGCCGGCTTCTCGCTCGCCCCGGCCGGAGCCGGCGGACGCTTTTCCGGCTGCTCTTCCAGGGAACACAACGCGGACGGGGAGAGGGAGGAGTCTCCGCCCCGGAGGCGGAAGCGCCGAGGTCCAGGAAAAGAGGGGGTCCCTGGGTGGGACGTTCGTTGCTCAGCGGGTCACCGGACGGGGGCGTCCTGGAGCCCCGAAGTTGGGGCAGGACCTGAAGGACTCTGAGAAGGGCGGAAAGAAGCCGCGCCAGTAAGACAAATAGGTCACGACCCGCTCAGCGCAGGGGGGCCGAGGGCCCGAATGAGGGGCGGGCGTCGGGAGCAGTTTCTGGGGCTCCCGCCCTCCTTGCTCGCTCCTACCAGTCCGCATGCTCCCGCTTCCTTGGAAGGCTCAGGGAGAACGCCTTTAGGCCTTTCCGGAAAGAGAGAGGGACTGTGGGTTTGCTGTTTCTCAAAAGCAAACAGCTTTGGAGTCTGGAAACAGAATCTGTCACCTGTCCCCTTCTCTACCTCTACGGACTCCCTCGAAGGCCAACCTTCCTGCCCTCCCCGGGGTTGTGGGGGTGCCTGAAGAGAGGGCAGCCTTCAATGCTGGAAGGGTAAGTGGCTCTGCTCCCCTCCCTTCCACTCCAGCCTTTGGCTTCCGTGCAACGAAGGGAGCAGAGGACCGTTTCTCAGAGGCTCCAGAACGAAGCTGTCCTACAGGAGAGCTCACACGAGCCAGAGGGTTTGCCACTCGATGACATCTTTGACCATGAAAGCCAATTAAGTCCTCCTTTCTCTCTTGGGTGGATTTCTGTCACTTACAACCAAGACTCCTGACTCAAGCAGCCTTACCATACGTCCAGCTCCAAGTCCCTCTCTGCCTACTTTTTCAACCCCATCTGGACCACTCCACCCGTCCACGCTCCAGCTTCCAGTGAGGCCTTCCAGACCCTGAATACTACCTGCCCCACCCCTGCCCCATCCTCCACGGTCCGGGGCATTTCAACATGCCGTTCCCTCGACTCTCTTGTCACCTGTTTCCCCTCAACTTTGAACATTTGACAGAAATGTCATTTCCTCAAGGAAGCTGTATCTGTCCAAGGACTAAGACAAGTGCTCAGCTGTTTGCAAACGGTGTCCAGTGGCTGAAGGAACCACGCTAAAGCAGTGGTTGCCTCTGTGGCCAGGTCCTGAACCAGAACAGCGCCAGGCTTGTCATGAAGGCTCAACAAAGAAGAAAAGGGGCTAGTGTAGGCCTGACATCTTCTAGTGTGTATGGGAAAATTCCTTTTAAAGTTCAGCTAAACCTTCTTCAATACCCAGTATCATCACACTCATTTGGACATGAATTATACTGTGGTTTAAGATTTAAGGAAATCAGGATATTTATTTTTCTTTAAAGTAAAATGTTACCAAGGTCATGGTTTCCAAGAAAAAGCTTCCTCCACCAGCCCATTGCCTTGACACAACCAATGACTACTTTCTCTGTACCAGGTATTAGCTGTTCTGTCCATAACGGCCCTGTGTCCTTTATAACCCTTTCTTCTTATCAGCTAATACTTGATGTTTTAATCAGCTGTTGCCTATTACGCTCAGTGATGGCTTATACATTGGCTTCATACTGCATGGTCTTTTACAAATTTTTGATTTTGTGTTTATTTTCATTACAAATATGGTCTATGTTTATTGTAAAAAAATTAAATACATAAATAATCCAAAATAAATAAATAAATCCAAGAAACTGCTATTTAAAAAAATAGATTAAAACTCAGCTAAAAGGAAAATATTTAACATGTCCTCAGTTCCTGAAATTGAAGGGCAAAAACAAGACAAGTACCAGAAAAGAAGTGGGTGGCCAGGGGCCCGTGATGCACATGGCAGTGGGCACAGACCTGCACCACAGGCTCCAGCACCAATGCCTATGTGTAACAATCTCCTGAGAATTAAATCTTGGAAGCAAGGAAAGGCATGGAGAATAAAGCCTTAAAGAAAAGAGAAGAAATGTGTGCAAGCATTCCATTTGGTGGAAGGGTTGGAGGTGGGAAAAAGACCCAGCTTCAACAGCCCGGATCGATGTTGGCTGAGTATCTGCTGCTTTTCAAGGATGTACAGGTGTTGAGGATACAGTGATCAAAGCACCCGGCCAGTAAGGAGGTCACAGTTTGTCGGCAAAGGCTTACTGCTCAGTGTGATAGGGATGTGGACAAGGTGCTACAAGGAGGGGAAGGTCGTAGTGCCCAAGCTTCTGCGGGAAATGCAACCGATACTGAGATTTCCGAGACGAGGAAGCCGGCAAGACAAGGTGGCTTAAAGGTATTTCAAAGTCCTCAACAAGAGGGCCAGGGAGCTGTGCACGAAGATGTACTTAGGACTCAGGTTTTTCTCTTGGTGGATTCGGGGTGACTGAGGAAGGCTGTGAGTGTCCTCTTAAGAAAATCTCTCCAAAGTGGCTTCTTATTTCTGGGATGACGGACCGGAGGGTCCTGTGCTTGCTTGAAGCCCTGCGCTGCTCCCCTTGGTCTCTGTCTTCTCAGATTCCCCAGCTTTTGCTCCCAGTTTTTTATTTTATTTTTAAGTAAAATATGAAATGCTTCATGAATTGGCAGGTGAGCCTTGCACAGGAGCCATGCGCATCTTCTGTGTATCGATCCAAATTCAGTCTATGTGCTGAGAAGCGAGCTCCCCTTCAAGCTTAATTCCAGCCCTGCAGAGGTCCTCTGAGTACAACCACTGGTGCCCAGGAGAGTGGGACCTCCCTCCCTCATGTCTCCCACACACAGTCCTCCCACCCCACCAGAAAGAAAGGCAGTCAGGGAGAGAGAACGGGGCCAAAACCATGCAGGGTGATGGACAGATTTAGAAGGGTCAGCCCTGAGGCAAAATGGTGGGCAAAGTTCTGTGGGTACACTCCCATTGTCTCTGATGGTAAGGAACTTTTTCTCTTGGGAGGCACTACAATTAATGCTGCTTTCCTTTATTTACGTTATTTTTTTTAAAGATTTTATTCATTTATTTGCCAGAGAAAGAGCACAAGCAGGGGTAGCAGCAGGCAGGGGGGAGCAGCAGGCTCCCTGCTCAGCAAGAAGCCCAACGTGGGGCTCAATCCCAGGACCTCAGGACCTCCAGGACCTCAATCCCATGACCTGAGCCCAAGGCAGATGCTTTACTGAATGAAACACCCAGGCATCTGAAGTTACTTTAAATTTAAAAACTACTTAACTGTTAAAAACTATTACCAGAGGGGTGCCTGAGTGGCTCAGAGGGTTGGGCCTCTGCCTTCAGCTCAGATCATGGTCTCAGGGTCCTGGGATCAAGCCCCGCATCGGGCTCTCTGCTTATCGGGAAGCCTGCTTCCCCCTTTCTCTCTGCCTGCCTCTCTGCCTGCTTGTGATCTCTCTCTGTCAAATAAATGAATAAAATCTTAAAAAAATATATATATTACCAGAGTAATACATACTCATGAAAACCACCTGGAAAACACAAATTAGCAAAACAAAGTAAAAAAGATTCATGGTCCTTCCTCCTAGAGGAAAAGACTGTTAACACTTCCCATATAAATATCTAATTTATACATTAAAAAGATATTTTTATTAAATAAAATAAAATGATTTTATTAAATAACCATAAAACAACATCTACAGAGGAGCTATCTATATAGCAGATGCCTACGTAGACAGGTAGGTCTCGTGTATCTCCAAACTTCTGTGCACTCAGATACGGCACACAAAACACACATAAATTACAAGTGTACGACTGAATTTTCACAACATGAACACACCCTGCCTGGGCCAAGCCCTCCCCTTGTCTGCCCTTCCCCGGTACCCTTCTTCCCGGTCTCCTTCTACTTTGGGGCCTGGTTCTTTCAAACTGTCCTCCCATCTCCACCAAAGTAACTTCTTCACCTTCCTTTCTGGGAGTTGACCCTGACGGGTATCACCCTTCAAGGCCCTGACCGCTGTGCGCCCTAGACCTAGGCTGTGTCACAGTTGGCTCTATCTACCTGCCGTTCGCCCATGACCTTGTGCTCCTGAGGGCAGGACCCAGCGAGTACCAGCTGTCGTGGCAGGAGCCTGCCCTGTGTGCCAGGAGTCACCACCCGCCAGGGCCTCTCCGGCGGCTCCCGGGAGCAAGTGAAGGGAGAGAGCCCCTCGCTGCAGCCCGGACAGGGTATCTGCTCACTCTGAGAGCACAAGCCCATTTGGAGAAAACAGAAATCTCGACAATTCATCCTCCACAGAGCAGCCAGAACGACTCTCCCCACCGCCCCGTGTCCTGCCCTCTCCTTGCCCTGGACTCCCGGGACGCTGACCCGCCGCTTCCCCAAAACTGCCGGTCTTCGCCACGAGCGCCGCTCTCAGCGCTGCTCTCCTGTTTCGTTGCCGGATGCCCCCGCCACACCCCTGCTGCAGAGCAGAAGCTAAAGCACAAAGGCCGCGTAACCCGCCTGGGTCCGCTCTTCCTCGGTCCTCAAGGAACGCCCAGGTCCGCGGACCGGCTTCGAGTGTCGGCCAGGCCCAAGGCGCTGCCCGCCTCAGCGGCGTCGCTCCTTCTGGCCCTTCCTTCCCCCGCCTCGGTGGGCAGGGAGGTGAGGACGGGCCGGCTCTCTCCGACCTCCCAACCAGCGCTCAGCCTGGGGAGTCCACGGGCCTCCCAGACCCCCTGTGCCGCGTCTGCTTCCCAGGGGAATGCAGGCCCCGCCCAAGTGCACGGCCTCGTTTTACTCACTCCTGCTTCCCTAGCGGCCGAAGGTCCACTCAGGGACTCTACCCACCTTCTCCGTCCACGTCTAACGCCCCTGCCCCCCACGTTTCAGCAGAACCTGGACAGGACTACGCCCTCGGCTTCGACTCGAGGGCTCCCCAGCCTGAGAGCCGCGACGCCCAACGCCGCGGCGCGGGAAGACCGCGTCCCCGCTCCCCGATGACTTTGAGTTTCCTCCCTGGGGAACCCGGAGTCTGGGCAACACGGTGGGAGTGTCTCGTTGGGTTGTTTTTTCCTATTAAAACCCTTTATAAGATACGGAATTCAGTGGTGACTGGGTGCCTCAGCCGCTTAAGGGTCTGACTCTTGGTTTTGGTTCAGGTCATGACCTCAGTCCTGGAACCAGTTCTGTGCTGGGCTGAGCATGGAGCTTGCTTACAGGATTTTCTCTTCTCTCCCTCTACCCCTCTCCTCTTGCCCACTCTCTCTAAAAATTAAAAAAAAAAAAATTTTTTTTAAACCATAAATAAATAAATACGGAATTCAGGATTTTCCAAACGGCTGCATCTGTGCGGCTTTCTTGGTTAAGGCCTGGCGTCAAGCTAGGGGAGACCCTCCTGAGAAAGCATCAGAGGGAGCCTGACGGAGGCCGAGCTGGGCAGAGGGTCACGGACTGGAGACAGGTCGCGCACGCCAATTACCGGCCAAGCGGCCGCGCCCCTGGGCAGCTACCGACCTGCACCCCCGGACACAAAGGGGACATGGAGCCCCCTGGGCGCTCCCCCACGGAGACAAACGGCCCGGAGGAGCAGGACACGTCTCCAGACGCCCCGAGCTCCACGTGCCCGCCGCCGCCGACCAGGGGAACGAGGAGCCCGGGGTCCGCAGCCCGCCCCCGGCAGAGCGCAGCTCCTCTCAGCGCGGGGGGCAGAGGGTGGCCACCCGGCCGGCCGGCGCGCTGCGTGGCGGGCAAAGCTCTCCGGCCCCGCCGCAGGCCAAGCCGGGGCCCCAGGGCCCCGGGGCGCAGGAGGGCGGCCACGGGCCCCGGGCCTCGTGACAGCGCCCCCAGCGAGGGCCAGGGCCACTGCGAGAAGCCGCGGCCGCCGCCCAGGCCCCGCTGCGGTCGCTCAGGCCGGCGGAAGCGCCCAGGCCCCGAGGGAAGCCCACGCGGCCCCCAGCCTCGTCCCCGCCCGCGGGGCTCACGCGGCGGAGGGTCAGCCGCCGAGGACGCCGCGGTCGGCACGGACCGGACCCCGCCCCGGCGTCTCCGGTCAGCCGCCTGCAGTCGCTCGGGGCAGGCGCAGCGCGCATTGCCGGCCCAGGGCCTCCGCGCAGGCGGGGAAACTGAGGCTCAGAGGGACGGCACGAGCGCAAGGTCACGCGGGCAGGGGGCGGGGACCAGCCTGCAGGCCCGCCCGTGGCCGCCCCCGAGCCGTCGCCCCGCCGCAGCCGCCACGAGGTCCCCACGGGCGCCGGGAGGCCCCCACGCGCGTGCAGGCCCGCCGCGGCTCGGGCGGGACACACACGCCGGGGCAGGAGGCGGGGTCCGCGCGGGGAGGGGGGTGGGGGGCCCTGGGAGCACGCGGCGCCCGAACACGTGACAGGGGAGCGCCGGCAGGGCCGACGGGAGCGCGCGCGCACGACGTGCGTAAGCACGCGCCCAGGCCCCGAAAGCGCCGGGCCCGAAGCCCCTAGGTCACGTGCGGAGGGCGGCGGGCGAGCGCCAAGGGGCGGGCGAGAGGGAGAGGTCACGTGAGGAAGGCCGGCGCCGCGCGGTCACGTGAGGGGCGGGGCGGGCCGCCGAAGCGGAGGGGGAGGGGCGCGCGGCTTCCGGCGGCTGGGGGCCGGCGAGCGGGGGGGCCCCGTCCCGGAGGCGGCGGCGGCGCCATCTTGGCGAAGGGGGGATCAGGAAGTGCGGACCGCGGCGGCGGCGGCGGCGGCGGCGGCGGCGGAGCCCGAGCGGAGGCCGGAGGCTCCCGGCCCGCCGGCCCCGGAGCGGAGCGGAGCGGAGGATGCAGCAGCCGCAGCCGCAGGGGCAGCAGCAGCCGGGGCCGGGGCAGCAGCTGGGGGGCCAGGGGGCGGCGCCGGGGGCCGGGGGCGGCCCGGGGGGGGGGCCCGGGGCCGGGGCCCTGCCTGAGGCGGGAGCTGAAGCTGCTCGAGTCCATCTTCCACCGCGGCCACGAGCGCTTCCGCATTGCCAGCGCCTGCCTGGACGAGCTGAGCTGCGAGTTCCTGCTGGCCGGGGCTGGAGGGGCCGGGGCGGGGGCCGCGCCCGGACCGCATCTGCCCCCGCGGGGGCCGGTGCCCGGGGATCCCGTCCGCATCCACTGCAACATCACGGTGAGGACCCCTCGGCGCGCCCGTGCGGGGCCCCTTGTCAGGGACTCGGGACCACCCCGCACAGCTTCGTGCTCTCCGAGGACCCGGGAGGCCCAGGGCCCCCCCCCACCCCGTCTCGGGGCTCGGCCGGTCCCCGCGGGCTCCACTTGCTGCTGCCGCTGGAGCTTGTGCCGTGCGCCCGGAGTCGGCCACGGACCCTGGGTGGCGAGGGGCGCCCCGACATATGGCGCCTCGACTGGCCCCTTCCGCTCACCCGCATCCCGAGGGTCGTGATCTCGGCCCTCGCGACTTTGCCTTGCCGCCTGCGAAGGCCCCTTTCTTCCCCTGCTGTCATCGCGGGGCTCCAGGCCTCTGCCCTGAGCTCAGCCGCAGGGACCTCCCTGGCCTGGAGTCCCGCACGATTCAGGGATGCCCCCTGGTCGCTCCTACCTTTGACTTAGGCCGTTGCCACCTGTGGGATCCCTGCCCGGGCACCTCTCAGGAAACCCCCTTTGCTCCCTGAATATGACCAAGTGGAGATTCGCAGGTCGTGGATTCTTTTTTTTTTTTTTCCCCCCTTTGGTTCCCCTTCCATTCCAGTGTAACCTTTAACTCTCCTCCTCTTGCCCCAGCTGGTGGCAGATCTTCCACTCCACTTCTGT